CCATGGAGAAAACTCTTGGCTGGAGACAATTTTCATTACATTTACACTTGCTCATATTTTCCAGACAAAAAGTTAATGGCGCATCTCCCAAATGTCCCGGCCTCAACAACGCTTTTATTGGTTCCGCTATCGGGACGGAACCAATAATGGCGAGCCGTTATTTATAAAAAGAAAAAAAGAAAATTGTCAATTTTAACGTTTTCTCATAATAAAAATAATCCTATTTATGATGTTTTAAAAATTAAGACCTACGAAAGACTAATTTAAGACATTTTAATACCAATTAAGGCCTTAGTTTTATTTTGAAGAATTCAATGCCTTTTAAGACTTTTTAAGGACCCGCGGGAACCCTGGTTGTGATCCTTCTGGACCGTACTGCCTCCTTTGATCCAACTGACCACTTTATCGAAACTTAAACATATTTTGGGGATTAAATTTCTCCTTTAATTCGTTCCCGTTTACATTAATCCATCAGTTGAAATGTCGAGAAAATATTAAGAAACAACACATCCAGTTTTTATGCCGATAACACGAGAATCAAGAATCAATCAGAACTGCTTACAACCTTTCAATTCTCCATGAATCGTTCAAATTTTGGATAATTTCAAAAGACAACTTGGAACAAAAAATGTGGAATTAACCATTTTTGATGCATTACCTTTAAAGAAAACCTGAGATAAAAAAACCCAAAGTTATTGGTTATATTGCATAGTAACAGGTAGCTGAGAAAATAGCCATCTTTATTATGGTCTGTCATTTAACTAGTGGAAATAGAGCTTAAATAGTGATATTAGGTTATAGGGGCTTAAACAACCTGGCTTCAAATTCAAATGCAAACCCTCTTTTAAGATAAGAAAGCTTTAACAATCATCAAACCTCAGACCCTCCTCACCTCTAGGTCATCTAGGAGCCCAGTTAAATCCAGGCCTCTTTTAGCAGCATCCCAGTAGTGGTACGGACGGATGTCTTTAAATCCAGCATCAGCAAACACTCCATTGTGGTTCTCTGGATTCAGGCAGGAACATAGAGGAAAAGTTTAAACGCTCACTGAAAGCACTGACTTCATCTTAAAAAAATAAATCACAACAGCTTTCTTTGCAACATTAAGAGAAAGGGGGGGAAAAAAGGAGACATTAAGGGAAAGATGAGAAAACAACTGACCCCAGGTGGGCGCTGATACATAAACAGGCGTGGCTGTGTTATTGACGCCGTTGTACCACCGTCGCAAGAAATCTGCCCCGATCCTCAACGCTCCAGTTCCTCCCAAAGCCTGGACCGCTCCCACCTGGAGGTGGACAGACACCAGGACAAGAGTCTTTATGCTCACCTCATATAATAAACATAGCAAACTTGGATGTACTCATTAAGCAGTGATGGTAACATGTAGGTTTGTCAGTGTTTGGATCTCACCCTGTTCTCCTTGATGGCAGCGCTGTCGTCTCCCAGGGCAACCTTTGATGCAGCCGAGCGGAACTCGGGCAGTCCGAGGATGGGCAGGTACTCGTGGTTCAGGCTATCGTCCTCCACAAGAAGCCGCTCCACCTTCTTCACTACAGGCAGCACCCATGGCTGGCAGTCATCAGTACGGTAAGCTGGAGAGGACAAAGTGTATTTAACAGCCCCAACGCCAGGATAGATGACACACAGCCGCCCACTTTGTGTGGATGTAATAACAGCTGTCAGCATATGTTGACAGTAGGGATGGGAATCGAAAACCGGTTCCAATTCCATGGCACCGTTTTGCATTCGCTTAATGATTCTCTTAACGGTTCCAGGCAGCACCAGAGCCTAGCGCTGGACAGCACGACTTACGTCACGTTTTTTGCGCAAGTTACGCACACGGCATTCAGTAAGCGGTTACGATGTGACCAGCCATAGGTCTAGAAAAGCTAAACAAAAAGGCTCAAACTGATTGAAAGTTTGGCTTCATTATAAGGAAGAGGAAGATGGCAACAAGACGCTTTGCAATCATTGCAAAGTGGCAATAACATCCGCAGGAGGAAATACATCCAACATTCAGAAACACCTGCGCACACAACATGGCATACATTTTAACGAATGCTGTGTTTTTGATGCTTCTGGACAGAAGCTCAAGTTACGACCGGCATGGAAGGCAACTCTGGTGGTTAGTAGCTAGTTTTATATCGCTGTCTTAGCTTAATGTGGTTCCCATTAAATCATATGCATCATTTCTGGAAATAAACCAATTTCCTACCTCTCTTTGGGGTTATTAAACATGCTACGAAGTTGCTCCGCAGTTCAGGGAGTGAGAGAAAGGTGACACTCGTTTATTTAAATCGGGGAGAGATGTGTTTATTTCCTGAAATTGTTCAGTAATGCTTTTACATTAAACAGAGCTTTCTCCATTAGATTTAGACGACTGTGACGAGACGGGTAGCCTGGCTGAGAGGCTGGCAGCTGCCGTTCACTGCCTTCTGTTTCCGCCGCGGCAGGCAGAAATAGAATGTCCCAGGCGAAGGTAGACCAATGTCACCGTGCACTTACCAAGTTCATCGTTAACAGAATCGATAAGAGAACCGATAAGTAGGGTTGGGAATCAAAAACCGGTTCCTGTTCAGAACCGGTTCTGTATTTTCCGATTCCATGGCATCGTTTGGCAGCTCGCTGAACGATTCTTTTTTCGATTCCCGCAGCACCAGAGCCTAGAGCGCCGGCTCTGGGGAGCACGACTTACGTCACGTTTTTTACGTAAGTTACGTTTTTTATGCAAGTTACGCAAGTTGGAAGAACTATTCGAGGAGGAAGACAACGAGCTGCGGTCACTTTGTGAATCAAAGCCCCGTCTTTCCTTAGCCCAGAGGGTAGACCAGGAAATCCAGCTCTATAAAAGCTTGCCCTCCATCCCCTGCAGGGATAGCGCCACACTGTGGTGGTGGAACAAGCAAGATACGCTGCCCTTGCTATCTGGACTGGCTGAAAACTACCTCTGTGTGCAGGCTTCCTCCACCCCATCTGAGAGGGTGTTCTCCATGGCTGGAGACACCATAAGCCCTGAAAGATCCCGTATCCTTCCAGAAAAAGCAGATATGCTCATCTTTCGGCAAAAGAATTGTTAATTTTCCCTACTACTGTTTTATAATTAGTATTTTTTGTTATTTAAAATAGGTTATTATCCCATCATTTGTTATTAGACATTGTTGGTTATTAAGTTTGTTCTTGTATTCATTTTTCATTTAAACACAGATGTTACTCCAGTTTCACATTTCCTGTGGACATCTTGATCTTGTTGAGTTTGTAAGATTGTGCAATAGTTAAGTAAACAAAGTTGATGCTGATAATCAAAGTTTGTTCTCCTTTTCCCCCCAAATTGGAATCGAAAAGGGAATCGGAATCGTGAAAATCTTTTCAATTCCCAACCCTACCGATAAGGAATCGAATCGTTTCACAGAATCGATAAGGGAATCGGAATCGTATCAATTCCAAACCCTAGTTGACAGTAAGATGACAAAACAGAGAGCAGAACTGTGTTTTTGATGAGCAGTGACTGCTGTGCTGGAAAGCAGCCTGTATGACTGAGTATTTAGAGCCCAGATGACAATATTAAAATCGGACAAAATGCAACATCAGCGTCCAGACTGCAGACTGGGTGTTTATTCATTAAAATCAATTAAGTGAATTTTCTGTTTATGATGATTGAATTTTTGAAAAATCCAGATTTTGTTTTCCATCTACTAATGCACTTCTTGGGCAACCAAAGCCCAGGGTGACATCACTTGATCACTTATTGTTCTTAAATGTGTCTGTATAACTTATAAACTAGCTCATTGTGATACTAACGTCTGCTGACATTTAACATGTTTGTTGTGAAACATTGTTTAACAAGCATTTCACAGCTTGAATGTCGGTACCCTTTAAATTAAGGTCATCTCCTTAATGGGACGACTCAAATAATAGTTTTTGAAAGCAATGTTATGTGTGTTATTTTCATTATAAAACATAAAAGCTGGGGGAAAAAAAGAAAATGGATAAATTGGATTTGGTAGGAAAAAAATCTGGGATTAGTTTTAAGCCAGCCCTGCTGTGCCCTACCAGCCTGCTATTGGATATGCATCTGATTTAGTACAACAAATGGAAGTAGAAAAAAAAAAATCTCCTTTTTTTGGAGGTGAAAAGATCGAAAATGGCCGCCGCTCTGACTGCCATGAAAAACAGGAATATAAGCCAATATTGGGAAATAACATAAAAACAGAAGGGATTTGGGTCTCATTAAAAGCAGTGTGAAAGTAGCTTTAGATTTCAGTTAAAGTCATAATTCATACTATGTATATTACACTTACACTTAGAAACACTACTTAGAAAAAAGACAAAGCTGGTCTATTGGGACAAATCCTTAGCTAGTATTGTGTTAGAAAAAAAACAACTAAATTCTAAATTGATTCTCATTTAAATCTCTAAATATCTATTAATATATAAAAGATCAATTATAAATATTTATGTTCTACTGCCCTTACAGACGTCATTAACTACAATGACTTTATTAATTTGCTGTTGACTTTTAATATGATAAGTTATTAGCACAGTCATGTAATTCAGGTAACGCTAACTAGAGGTTCACAAAACATGAAATTACAGTAAACAGCTTAGTTTTTTTAAGCATTTTATTATAATATTTTATTTAGATTAAATGCCTGATGCTTGTTGAATATAGCATTTTTTTTGTTATATTTAAATGAATGTAAATAATCGTGTTAGATGGGCAGATTAGATTGCATCAAACTGATACCAGCCTTTATGATATTAGCACTGATTGTCACTCAGAAAAATTATGATTTAGATGGCGATTAACACCATAAATATGCATCACAATCCTAATAACACAAAAATATTAAAGATGACATTATTATTTTGTTTATTACTATTTTAATATAACAGCCACCTTAGAGTCATATTATAAGAAACAAAAAAAATCTTTATTTTTTTACTGAATCAAACTGTGAGAAACTCACAGGCCAATAATAATAAAAAAAATAAAATAAAATAAAAAGACTGTAGACCACCCCCCAAGTTACATAGAAATACTTCTATGAATATGAAGTAACAACATTCATTTTAAAAAGATATACATATACTGTTTAAATGTACTTGTAGTTATTGAATGAGACATTAAATTATTTAATGGCAGTTGTTTTTAATATTTAATGTTTTCCGTCATGTCTGAATAATGCATTTCATAAATAAAAGTTATATCTAGGGTGGTCCTATTCTTTGCTCCTGTTCATCCATATCTATTAAATCTTTCTATATATCTATTAAAACTCAGTGCTATGTTTATTTGTTTTTTTTTTTAATATAAGTTTTTGAATTTGTATATATATATATATATATATATATATATGTTGTTTTTTCTAATTGTCTTTTCTCTTTGTGTGAGTTTTTCAGATTGAAATGTGTTTTATAAACAAAGTTTTAGCTGAGTTCAATACTCCAAGGTTAAATATTGGTATTGTATTGGAAAAAGTTATATTAGGACACTGATGCTTACATTTACATATTTTAAAGTATATTAATAAATTTCATTGGAATTTTCATTTATATTTTTAAAATTTGTTTATATATTGTGTCACATATCCCTGCGATCAAATCAGAATAATTGTAATTAAAAAATATTTTTCTATTAATTTTTAATGTTGTGATATGTTAACATTTTTAATTAATTTCTATTGAGCAAGCAGAAGAAAGAACTCCTGAGAAATGTTCTAGGAGTTCATTAAACTTCTGACTGACTGGAGGTTAGTTTGGTAACGAAGCAGTCACGAGACGAGGCTAAGATTTGCTAAAGAGAATGTTTTTACAATAATACTTTAAAATCTAAATTTATATTATTAAAAAAAACCTAAAGGTGGTGCTGAAAGCTGAAAGCTGGAGAGCAGCTAGCTTGCTATGAAAGTGCAGAAGGTGCTAAAGAAGGTCAAAGCGAGGAGAGAAGCTCCAGCATGCTAGCATGGTGACATCATTACCGCACGAGCTCAGAGAAAAAGCGGCTGTCTGAAGTTTCTCCTCAGCTCATTCACAAACAGCACACAGCCATGACAAGTTATGCTAGCTTTAGCTTAGCTTAGCTTTAGCCTCAGCTGACAGCTGCCTGCTCTTACCTCCAACTCCCAAGTTCACCTTCTGAGGGTGACTGTCCTCTCTAAAGTCAGCGGTCAGTTTAAAGACGGCTACAGGCGGGGCCTGCGGGACATCGCTGAACAGGGACATGGCTCAGGCCGAAAGGAATAATCCCGGTGTGCGACGAGGAGAGAGCGGATAAAAGCCAATGACAGAGACAGAGCGGGTTCACCTTCAGTCCTCTGTTTCAGGACATGAGCGTAATCAGCGTCAATCCAACTACCAATAGAAAGGCGCGTTCTAGACGTCAGCCCCCAAAGCAGCCAATCAGAGCGAAGAACGCTTCTCCAAAGTAAAGCATGGAGTTTTATTGATACTAGATTCACTAAGAAATCAGTTTAATTTAGTCCAACTTACTTTTGAACAGATAAATGAATTGGTTAATTTGAAGTTTTTAAAAATGAGAAGATATTGTAAAGCAATTTACATGAAAAAAAGAGGTAGCGTTCAGAAATGCATAATTAAATCAATGCAACATTCAGAGAAAGGTTGAAATATTTCAAAACAGAATTAATTAAATGTAAGCAGCTGGTAAAGAGTTATTTTTCTTTGGAGGAACAGGAGAGTGGGTGGAGTGGTTGACCTTGCTGCAATCCCTTCTCCTTGCCAGGCATGTAGAAATGGCCCCCTCCCTTTTAAGAAGAAGAACTTCTTAAAGAACCAACGCCTGGAATGGAGAGGCAAGAGAAGCCAAATAAAATAAAATAAAACACAGGGAAAAACTCTTTCATTCAAGTCAAATAAAAACAACATTATTGATCCCCAATGGAAAAATAAATGTTGCTGTGACTCATTGTTTATACTGTTTTTTTTCTTTTTTCTTTTTCCAACAAGTTATTGTAGGCGTTGACAGCTGTAGGCAGGAGTGCAAGGGGTAGCTTTCTGTGACTAGGAAACGTCTACAGAGTTACTTGTAGAGTTAATTTCTCAACCAAATCAGATGTTTTTGTTTCCACCTGTCTTTCTCTGGAAGTCAGATGAAAAGGCATCTGGAGAGGCTGAATTATAAGCCACCGGTTCCAGATTCACTCACAGAAATAATTCAGCCAGTTTTTTTATTTATTATATAACAAATTCCCATTTACCTTTTTTGTTTAACACAAATCTATTAAATAAACCTTAAATTATCCATATTCATTAGTTTAATATAGCGTATTTTAGTGCTTGAATTGCATAAAGGTAGCCTGAATGTTATGGAATTCCAAAAAATAAACATGTGAAATAAAAACCATGATTAGCAATAATCTTGAGCTATCTCTATAGTTATGCTGCTATAGGTTTAGACTTCTGGAGGACATAGGGACCCCTATTTCATCATTGTGCTTCATTGTATTTCTATTCTCCCACTCTGCAGAATCTGTTAGTTCTAACGTTCTGCTCTCTCTGCTTTTTGTCACAGTAGATTTGCCTCGTCTGTTCCTGTTTGGCTGTCACTCCATCCTGGAGAGAAATATCAGCTGTGCTGCTGCCATCAACACCTTTGTTTCTAGATGTTGGAGATCGGCCTGTTTTCCAGTGTGGTCCTGTTTCTCTGACTGTGACTGGCTGGATGTGCTTTCTTCATCCTCGGTGAGTTTTTTTGACATGTTTCATACCTAAGTGGTTTTACTTCTAAACTTGTAGTATTTGAAATGTACTTTAGGGTAAAAAAAATGTGATGCTATTTTTTCTGCCTATTGGAAAATTGCTGTTAGGATTTTAATAAAAACACCTCTTACATATGAATTAGGTTAAATTTACTAGAGTAACTTACTTTAAAGAGTGGTTTTATTGTACAATACTTTTTACTTCACTCTGGCTGTATGCCGCTTTGAAAATGTCACTAAATTATTTGATTAGAGGTGGACAAAATAAGATTTGATCTTCTTTCTGCTGCCTTTTGCTCATGGGTAAATGTATAATAAAAGGTTTTAGAAGTTGAAAATCAGAATATGAAAGAAAAAAAATTAAAATCTGAGTAATATTTTTCATAAAATATATTTTTTCTTACTTGGAGTAAGTTTTGAATTACTTAATTACTACTGAGTAAAAAACAAGCTTTTTCAAAATAGAATAGAATAGAAAATCCCTTTATTGTCTTACAATGGGGAAGTTCTGGTGCAAAAGTATTATAGAAAAAGTGGTCAGAAAAATGTGGACCTTAGAAAAATGTATAAGACTAACATAATAGTGAAAAGTTAAAAGATAAACAATAAAATACTGTACTATAAAGTGTTTTAACCATATAAAACTGTGCACCCGGATAATAAAATGACATTTCTACAGTAATGGATATTTGAAAATAGCTGCAACATCAGAGATGTGCAGAATGACAGCAGCATGTTATTTAACTAAGATAGAAGCTGTGCATCCTCATTTTTAAGCAAAAGAGCTCCAGGAAAAACAAAAAACACACAGTTATGTTTATGTTCAAATTAGGGTTTTCTTCATTATTTTAAACAAGTTTACTGTAAATCAGGTGAACCTATCATATATTATAATGTCATTGGAGGTATTTACACTGTTCTAACCTGTACATTACCTCCAGGAAAGGCTTTTCTCATAAGCTATGTTGAACAAAAATTATCAAGGAAAGTGTTTCTTCTGTCTGGATTTTTTTATTCTTTCATTTATATCATTCGTCTTTTTTAATTATTATATTGTAATTCATTAAATGTACCAGAATTAGCACATAACTTTACATTTTCATAGATATTTTAGATAGATACATTTTCAGATATTACAGGCTAACGATGGAACTAAACGACCCATTCACCGGTTACCATTTGCAAGGCCTTGTCCATATAAGACTCAAACTCACTGCGGATCCAGACATTTGAATTGAGAAAGCTTCCTGGAGAGGCAACGTGTTCAAATCTTGAAAACCAAGTCCGGTGGATATTTTTTTGAATTTTTACGGAATGACTATGACCTGGATGACTGAAAACCTTCATCAGCAACTTTACATTTTGTCTTGGAGCATTTAACATTGTAAACCTGATGCTATGATGAGTTATTTTTTTTTTGCTTTTTTAGGATTTTTACAAAACATGCTACTTGTTTAACATTACTCTTACTTTAGTCGCTTCTCCAGTGGATACTTTTGACTCTTAAGGAAAAATATGATGAAGCAGTGAGTGCAATGGTTGGATACACCACCCATCTCTGCATATTACATGTCCTATGTAAAACGACCCTGCATGATGGATGGATGGATGGATGGATGGATGGATGGATGGATGGATGGATGGATGGATGGATGGATGGTACAGTCTTTTCATGGTGATTCTTCTCGAT